GGGAGGCGGAGCTTGCAGTGAGCTGAGATCCGGCCCAGCCTGGGCGACAGAGCGAGACTCCGTCTCAAAAAAAAAAAAAAAAAAAAAAAAAAATGGATTATACAGTTATGGAGGCTGAGAAGTCCCACAATCTGCCATCTGCAACCTGGAGACCCAAAAAGCTAGCAGTTAGCTCCAGCCCAAGTCTAAAGGCCTGAGACCCAGGAGTGCCTAAGCAAACCTACGCCAAGTGCTTATGCATGAACTATTTATAACTATTTTGAACTAAGAATAATTTGCAGCCCAGCAGTGGTATGTGGACCATGACTTGAGCAGCATTGAATTTGAAAATAAGCAATCTTGTTCCTTTACACACACACTACACAAATATACACACAAAAAATAAGCTCTCATTCTACGAACTTTTCTGTATTGCCACACTGAAGTTTCTAGGTATTTATACCTAAGAGAATATAGGTTTCCCAATCTTCTATCCTTGATGACACAGGGACAAAAACTGGCTTCTTCTATTACTACATTTCCCTTGAGAGTTTTCCTAAGTTTTATAGCTAACAAGAAAAAATGTTATAATTCTAAAAAAGAAAAACAAATAAGTCCTGTCTGTCGTATCACAGTATTTTCCAGAATTACCTTGCAGCAAAAAACACAAAGTCTACCAAAAAATTTAGTTAGACATAAATCTTTGGTTCGTGGAAATCTAAAGTTTTCCTTCTATTGCTTGGGTTCCTAGAAGACACTTTTTCCTCTAGACATGGATATTCCCGTGGTGGGTCTACATATGTTTAACAAGTGGGAGACATAAACTTTGCTATGATCCCATTTTTGTCTTGAAGTTTTTCATTCGTCACTTATATCCCAGCATGTCAAACAGGAACTAACCATTATTATTTATTACTTAGAAATGGAAGAGTAATGGTAATTATGTATATTCTTCCAGCCAACAATTAATTTTCATTTGACTGCAAGTGAGCCACTCATGTTTATTAAACACTGGCTATAACAAAAATAAATAAAATTATTGCATAAGCATCATATATTATTAAACCATTTTTCAATGAACAGCTTTGAGTTTTTAGAATCATTGACTCTTGGACCTAGAAGACACTTTTAAACATTCTATACCACAGTCCAAATTTTTTAAAATCAATATTATAAACAGTACATTATCATTAAAATAATATGGAAAATACAGAAAGACAAAAAAAATCACATCTAATCCCATTATCTCAATATAATCTCTTTGAGTATTACATGTCCTTTCTTCTAGCTTACTTTTAATGCAAAAGTCATTTGTTTATTAAAAATGTAACAGTAAGTAATACTACATACAATATTGTTTCATGATTTTTCTCTCAATATTAAAACAGAAGTATTTTTCACCGGGTGCGGTGGCTCACGCTTGTAATCCCAGCACTTTGGGAGGCCGAGGCAGGTGGATCACCTGAGGTCGGGAGTTCAAGACCAGCCTGACCAACATGGAGAAACCCCGTCTCTACTAAAAATACAAAATTAGCTGGGGTGGTGGCACATGCCTGTAATCCCAGCTACTCGGGAGGTTGAGGCAGGAGAATCGCTTGAACCCGGGAGGCGGAGGTTGCGGTGAGCCGAGATCGCGCCATTGCACTCCAGCCTGGGCAAAAAGAGCAAAACTCTGTCTCAAAAAAAAAAAAAAAAAAAAGAAGTATTTTTCTACACTATTACATAATCTTCACAAGTGGCATTTTATATAGTTCTGCAATGCCAAGACCAGCTCGGTTGGTCGTGGAGACCCTAACCCAGCGGTGCTAGCGGAATTAAAGACACACACACAGAAATATGGAATGTGGAGTGGAAAATCAGGGGACTCACAGCCTTCAGAGCTGAGAGCCCCGAACAGAGTTTGACCCACATATTTATTGACAGCAAGCGGGTGATAAGCATTGTTTCTATAGATTGTAGATTAACTAAAAGTATTCCTCACAGGAAATAAAGGGATGGGCCAAAATAAAGGGATGGGCTCTGGCTAGTTATCTGCAGCAGGAACATGTCCTTAAGGTGCAGATCACTCATGCTATTGTTTGTGGTTTAGGAACGCCTTTAAGTGGTTTTCCACCCTGAGTAGGCCAGGTGTTCCTTGCCCTCATTCCGGTAAATCCACAACCTTCAGCGTGGGCATCATGGCCATCATGAACATGTCACAGTGCTGCAGAGATTTTGTTTGTGGTCAGTTTTGGGGCCAGTTTATGGCCAAATTTGGGGGCCTGTTCCCAACACTGCAAAATAATTTATCTAATGCTGTATCACAGATTAAACTTTCTTTTTTATCTTCTTTTAATTAATATTTAATGATACATTAATTTTCATGATCATAAATTACACTGAACTTAATAAATTATGCAAAAAATGATCTTGACTATGCAATGTCGCTTACACTAACTCTTTCATTTTGTATAACTGGTATATTTTTCACTCTATGGGTAGAATAAAAATTAAGGTTTAGCCCAACCCGATAACTCCATTAAGTCTTAATTTAAATAATTTAAACTGAGTTTTATTGGAATGGGCCCAGATTTCAGATTTTCCTTGCATCTACTGTTATTTCTAAGAAGTTCACAGGGTTTACTCTACCTCATGGCATTGTGGGAAGAAAATGTTATCCATACCGTGGTATTGATCTGGCCCCATCCTTAGGTGCTCTGTTGGCACCTGCTGCTGAAGATTTTGGCTGATGCAACTTGTGGACTGTTCTTCCGGACAACTTGGCTCTATCTTAGTTCTCAGGGGTGCCTATGAAATCCCTCAAGACGTCTCAGTATGCGTCAGTTGGCTTTAGTAGCATGATAAAATATTTTTAAATTTAGTGGTTTAAAATAACTATCTAGCTCATGATTCTGCTGGGCACTTCATTGTCTGGACCAGGCTCAAGGGATTTCAGTTGGGTTGTTCATGCATTCATGGTTAGTTGGCAGGTCAGTGCATAACCGATTGGCCTCACCATTCAAATGTATGGTGGTTGACAGGTACAACGGGAGTTACTAGCCCATCTACCTTTGGTTATCTGGCAGGCTAGATGGAGGTTTTCATGTCACCACTGAAAAAAAGCAGCTATTCCAAAAGCAGACAGAGGGGAAAACTCTACTGCGCAATTGCTTTTCAAGTCACTTTTCAAGTTTACATAATATTTTCTAATGTCCCATTGGCTAAAGCAAGTGTAGGAGCACACTATTAAAGGGCATGGGTAGATGGAAAGAAATAATTTGTGGCCATTTTTATAAACTACAACATGCTGTGATTGCCAGTGAGTTACCAAGAAGGCCAGGCATGGTGGCTCACACCTGTAATCCCAGCACTTTGGGAGGCTGAGGCGGGCAGATCACCTGAGGTCAGGAATTCAAGACCACCCTGGACAACATGGTGAAACCCCATCTCGACTAAAAATACAAAAAATAAGCTGGGCGTTGTGGCACGTGCCTGTAATTGCAGCTACTCAGGAGGCTGAGGCAGGAGAATCACTTGAACCCAGGAGGCAGATGTTGCAGTGAGCCGAGATCGCACCACTACACTCCAACCTGGGCAACATTGTGAGACTCTGTCTCAAAAAATAAATAAATAAAATTACCAAGTGCCATAGCAACCCACTCTGGTATACTACTCAATTAGACTAGGTAACCTGTTGGGGGCATATGGAAATAATGCCATTTAAGACCCAAGGGCAGCTTTGGAATACTAACTCTAGTTTTCTCTGTCTAACCACTCCATTGTCCCTTGTTTCTGGGATAGGTGGGGAAATGAACCCCCCTCAGGTTTATCTTAACCTCTCCTATATACATCCTGTCCACCTGCCAGGATTCTTAGTTGCAGACAACAGGATCTGCTAATCTAGGCATAAAATGCATATCAAAATATGCTAGGCAGATACTCTGAGAGGACCAAAGAATGGACCTATATACTGTAGTCCCAGGATCAAAGCATTGAGAGAAAATACAGTCTGGGAAAACGCACAATTATATTGCAAATCCTGGGAAAACACAAGTCTGGGAAAACACAAATTATATCGCAAATCCAATTATATCACAAATCCAACACTCAGATCCTTTGACACTGGATGCCAAAAACTCCACGACAGCTGAAGATCAAATGCGTCAACCCCTGAACTTTCCAGATGATCCCCTCTTCCCACATGCAACCACCAACTCCTGTTGCTGCCTCCAAGTTGAACACTGATGCTAAGAAATTGGGTCACATGCAGAACTCTAAAGGCAAGGAAATCTGAGATGCATAGTTTTTAAATTTCCAACTACTTTTATCCAGAAGAGTAAGCTAGAAAGTGGTTACAATGGATGTGAAGTGACCTAATCTGCAGTATGTGTTGTAGTTTCCTATTCCAAACCCCAAGGCTAGAGAAGGGAGATCAGGATACAAGAATATGCTACCCCACATTCACTTCTCCTACTCTTCCTACAATCTCATGAGCTTTCTACTAATGAAGTGAGTGGCTTTCTACTTTCACTCTTGTATGTATTTGAGTAGTACATATCTACATTTTTTTATTCATGTATTTATTCCACAGTCAAAATAAATCATAATTTAAAGCTATAACATTTTTAAAAGATAAAGGATGATTTGTGACACAGCTGCATTAACAAAACAGACACCGGTCTAAAGTGCAACACTAAACAGGTGTTCTCTGTTCCCATGGTGGAGTAAATACACACAATTACACATAAGATTTCACTGAAGATAGGAGACGAGGCAAATAACCCTTTGAAATTAACTGCCCAACGAATAGAGGCAGGCTACATTAATTTAACATTTTACTGCAAAATGGAAAAAATCCCTGAGGTGACTAACTCAAACCCCTCATTTCATGCACATGACCTTGGCTTCTGTGTTCTTTCCACAGCCACATCCAAATCCAGAAAGCCTTCTGCACTCCATGCTCAAAAATGCAACCTCAAGTCCCTGAGGTCCTCAGCACAGACTGACGTTGACAAGCCTGTGTGCAGCCTTCATCCAGAACCTCCAGGGAAATCAGGAGCACAAACACAGAGCAAAGCGCCATTTCTTTAAACAATGGCTTTAACGGTCAAATGAGCTCTGACAAGCCATATGCATTTCATAAACAAACCAAAACATCATCTTCATATCTTCCTATTTTTCTTGCAAAAATATTAAGCCATCGAAGTAAAAAAAAATTTTTTTTAATTTAACAATGAAAAAGGAAATTCAAAGGGTTTATGCCACAAAACAAACCAGTCCTCTGCGGCCTAACTCATTTGTTTTTAGGCTATGAAGCCATGTAGAGGGCGATCAGGCAGTAGACGGTCCCTCCCACAGTCAGCGCCATGGTGGTCCGGTAAAGCATTTGGTCAGGCAGGCCTCGTTTCAGGTAGACGGGCACACCATCAGTTTTCTGGAAAAACTTCTGAAGCTCTGGAACTCTGTTTTTTCCAGCATAATCATACACTGTGTAATCGGAGGTCAGTTTAGTTGGTGTGGCAAATATGATAGGTGGTGCTTCTGTGGAAACCATAGACTTTAATCCCTGCGGGCTATAGGCCTCCGAAGCCCATGCTCCGGCCAACTTCTGCGTGAAGCCACTAAATTTGTAGTACATGATGCCCAGAGTCCAGCTTCCTGCTGATACCTACATTTCTTTTTTTGTTTGTTTGTTTGTTTTTGTTTGAGACGGAGTCTGCTCTGTCGCCCAGGCTGGAGTGCAGTGGCCAGATCTCGGCTCACTGCAAGCTCTGCCTCCCGGGTTCACGCCATTCTCCTGCCTCAGCCTCCCGAGTAGCTGGGACTACAGGCGCCCGCCACCTCGCCCGGCTAGTTTTTTTGTGTTTTTTAGTAGAGACGGGGTTTCACCGTGTTAGCCAGGATGGTCTCGATCTCCTGACCTCGCGATCCGCCCGCCTCGGCCTCCCAAAGTACTGGGATTACAGGCGTGAGCCACCGCGCCCGGCCCGATATCTACATTTCTTGAGGGCACTGAGTCTTAGTGGTGGATGAAGCATTTGAGGGTAGGGTTCAGTGGAAGAATAACCTGAAGCACATATACACGTGCAAATGATTTATGAAGGAAATTTTCTTGAAATAAACTGGTAAAAAATACAGGAACAGAGCAGATGGATAAGAAAGTAGGAGAAGGTTTGCAAGATTGCAATTGAGACAAAGTCTTTAGGACAACCACAGCCTAATCCTGTGGGGTAACTCTGAAGTATGGTGCCTTAGAGTTTGTCCCAATCGGAGACAAAGGGGCCCGACTTTCACAGTAGTGCATTCTTCAGCTGTTGGCTAAGGGCCTTCCCAGGAGGGTCGAAACATCTAAGTAGTTCTAACTCTCTGTACTTGTCAGAAAAACTGACTTCAGGAGTCCAGTGACACTCCTCCAACTGGTGGGTGGGAAGGAGGAGGTTGAAAGCAAAAGTTGGCATTGAAGTTCACAGAGGGGTATACAGAAACAATTTTTTTTTTAATTACAAAGGAGGAGACCTAGAGGAAGCATGGTGGACAGTGTCCACTCTAGGTTATGTGTTCATTACCATGAAGTCCCTGGGCCTGGGTTTTAATATGCATCCTGGTATAGTAACTTGGCATTCAATGTCTATTCCACCCTCCTCGGTTGTGCCCTCTTGTTCTGCAGTGGCTGGAAAACAAAAACTACATTTCCCAGGCTTCCTTGCAATTAGAATCCTAGATGTGATTTAAAGTCAGGCAATCAGATACTTTGATGCAAAATTTAGAAGGTGAGAGTGACGCAAAGGCTGAGATTCTGCTGTTAGTACTAGGTTTTGGGGCAAGAATGATTTTGCAGGTATTTTATTTTCTGTGGCAGCATTAACAGTGGTCTCAGGACCCACTCATGATGTTGAGAGACAGGACTCAGGGCCTTCATTTTGCTTGTATGAATCATAGCAGGAGTGACACACCTCTACAGCTCACAGCAGCAGTTTCCTGATCATGGTAGTTTCCTGATGATGGCAATAACAACACAGTTCTGGAGCCAGGAGCCCCCTGATCATGTAAGAGGCAGCAGCTGCCCTGATGGTCAGGTTCTATGATGAGTCTGTGGAAGGGAATATGCCCCCCATGTGATGGGGAGCCCCATATTTAATCACTCCTCACTCCACGAAGCTGTTTCTCCATATCAAGGTTTTCCCTTCAGTAATTCCACCCACAAGACCATTTACTTGGAAGAGGCACCAGGCCTGGGGTTTGGGAGTACAATGGGCATATGACTGTGGGAAATTAGTCAATCTCCACCCATTTTCCTCAGATCTTCAGCACTGTTTATTCACTACCCTGATTTTGCTTCTGCAAACACTCATACCAGGGCTTGAATCTCGGAGGAGCTTCTCAGTTTTCTCCGTACCTTTACAGTATCTCTCAGAGATCAATTTTGGCTAAGGTAGCTAGTTGTCTTAGCTGACCATCTTCGTTGATACTTAAACTGGAACCCAAGGAATTATTTTGTAGAATAAGTGTAGCAATCACTGTGTTTGTTCGTGCTATCTTTACTGTTGAAGGTGTTTGAAATGTTTACACTGCTGATAAAGTGTCTGAAGTCTTCAAAAAGAAAACCAGTTATATTAAATGTGTTATTGGAGCTTAAATTGTTTAAGGAAATTTAATTAAGACAGCATTTAATCTCTATGTGTTTAAGAAAAAAATAACTGCCAGATTTGTTCACACTAGACTTGTAAATAAAGCAAAATCCAAGTGATCTTTTTACTCTACAAACAAAATCTCTCTGACTTTAAAGACTCCATCAAGAAATGGAAATACGTTTAGTTAAATAAATATTGTAAACTTTTCAAGTATCCCAGTAATCAAAAATGCACATCGAGACAACAATAAAAGACCGTCATTTATTACCAAATTAGCAAAAGATACTTTGTCAGGATTCCTATTTGGGGTAATTGTGCAATGGATAAGTGCTAGGAAAAAATCCTACATTGTGGACAGAAAATACAGTAGCAAAACACTTTAGGAAGTGATATGAAATAAGTATCCGCAGTGAAAAATGTTCATGATGCAATTTAATTTCTGGGAATTCATCTTAAAGAAGTAGTTATAAATATTTACAACAGAGATGCTACTTTAAAATATGTTAATATGATTTAATATATATGACTGTTTAAGTGGCCAGATGCATCCACATGTGTAGTGTGAGGGATGTGGAGGTTGGGATATTATAGCAGGAAAGCATAGCACCCAATAGGTAGTTTTTCAACATTTACTCCCCTTATGCCCTCTCTCCTCTAATAGTACCCACTGTCCAGTGTTCCCATTTTTTGTTAAAAAAATTTATTTTTAATTTTTGTGAGTACATAGTAGGTGTATATATTTACAGGTTACGTGAGATATTTTGATAAAGGCATGCAATGAATAATAATCACATCAGAGTAAATGAAATATCCATCACCTCAAGTATTTATTCTTTGTATTACAAACAATCCAATTATACTCTTAGTTATTTCAAAATGTACAATTAAGTCATTATTTACTATAGTCGCCCTGTTGTACTATCAAATAGTAAGCCTTGTTCATTTTTCTAACTCTATTGTTTCCATCTTTATGTCCTTGTGTTCTCAATGTTTAGCTTCCACTTACAAAAGTTAGAATATGCAGTATTTGATTTTCTGCTTCTGTGTCAATTCTCTCAGGATAATGGCCTCCAGCTGCAACCATGTTGCCGGAGAAAAAAAACAAAACAAAACATGACTTTGGGTTTTTTATGGCTGCATAGTACACCATGGTGTGTATGTATCACACATTTTGTTTATCCAGTTCACCATTGATGGGCATTTAGGTTCACTCCATGTCATTGCTATTGTAAATAGTGCAAGCAGTCCATTTTGAAGTTTTGACTACTAACAGAATTTCTGAGTTGAGAAAACTTTTCAATTTGTCTGATCACCGCCACAACTAGAGGAAAAGTTTTGTAATACAAATGCAAAAGACAAAAGCACATTGATATAGATTTTGAGGTGATAAGATTTTTTAAACTCTTATAATTCCCTTTAGCATGTAGTATTTAAATTTTTAAATTGACAAAATTGTATATATTAGACATTTATGAGGTACAATGTGATGTTTAGATATATATTTACAATATAAAATGATTAAATCATTCGCTAATTAACAAATCCATAACTTCACACACTTATTTTTTTTGTTGTGAAATAAATCTTCTCTTTTAGTAATTTTGAAATACATGATGCATTATTATTATTATTATTTTTTTTTTTTGAGACGGAGTCTCGCTCTGTCGCCCAGGCTGGAGTGCAGTGGCGCGATCTCGGCTCACTCCAAGCTCCACCTCCCGGGTTCACGCCATTCTCCTGCCTCAGCCTCCCGAGTAGCTGGGACTAAAGGTGCCTGCCACCGCGCCCGGCTAATTTTTTGTATTTTTTTTTTTTATTAGAGACAGAGTTTCACCATGTCAGCCAGGATGGTTTCGATCTCCTGACCTTGTGATCCACTCGCCTCGGCCTCCCAAAGTGCTGGGATTATAGGCGTGAGCCACCGCGCCCGGCTGCATTATTATTTATTAAAGTCACCATTCTATGCAATAGATCACTAAAGCTTATTCTTCCTGTTTAACTAAAATTGTCACGCTTTGATCAACATCTCCCCTTTCCCCATTCACCCCTCTTAGCCTCTGGTAACCACCACTCAATTCTCTACTTTTATGAGTTCAACTTTCTTAGATCCTTTAGCGTATTGTCTAGGTCAGGGTTCAGTTGTACAGGGCAGACTGCCCTTTGGCTAGTTCAAGCAGGAAGGAATTTGTATCAGTCCATACGCATGCTGCTATGAGGAAATACCCGAGACTGAGTAATTCATAAAGAAAAGAGGTTTAATTGACTCACAGTTCCGCATGGTTGGGGAGGCCTAAGGAAACTTAAAATCATGGCAGAAGGGGAAGCAGGCACTTTCTTCACACGGCAAGGAGAAGTGCCCAGCAGCAAAGGGGGAAGAGCCCCTTATAAAAACAACAGATCTTGTGAGAACTCCCTCACTATGAAGAGAACAGCATGGGGGAACCACCCCCGTGATTCAATTATCTCCACCTGATCCCACCCTCGACCCATGAGGATTATTACAATTCAAGGTGAGATTACAATTCAAGGGACACAGAGCCAAACCATATCAGAATTCATTATAGAATTGTGGTAGGAGCTGAAGAAAAAAACTCTAGTTTGAGTTTTCAGGAACAACTTCTGTGGACTCACCATGGAACCTGGCTTCAGGGCAGCTGCTGCCTCTTATGTGATCAGGAGGCTCCTGGCTCCAGAACTGTGTTGTTACTGTCATCATCAGGAAACCACCATGATCAGGAAACTGCTGCTGTGAGCTCCAGAGGCGTGTCATTCCGCTACGATTGATACAAGCAAAATGAATGCCCTGAGTCCTGTCTCTCAACATCGTGAGTGGGTCCTGAGACCTCTGTTAATGCTGCCACAGAGGAGTGATTAAATGTGGGGCTGCCCATCATAAGGGGCATATTCCCCCCACAGTGACTTCTTGAAACTCATTTGAGCTAATGCAGGTTGAGATCTGACCTCTGACCCTTTCCCCATAGCCATTGATGAAAAAAAGTAGCTCATATTCCAAAAAATATGTCAA